ATACATTTCCTTATTATTAAAATATTGGCATAAATATTTTTGCAAAGTTGTATATACATGAATTATTTTTTCCTTCACTTAAGGTATCCGACTACGTTCGGAACCGGGATTTTAAAAAAGCACATAAATGGATAATTTTCATGATATTTAGTGTCACTCAGGTTAGAATACATGCATAAAATTTTTTTAAGGACATTTTGACAAAAACAAACTATTTAAATACAATATTTTGTCAAAAAATTAACTTAGAATAATCTTTTTTCAAAATGTTCTCCTTTTGTGAAAAATTCTTCAATTATAATAACATTTTACCTGTATATAGCTCAGACCTCTCTACAGAGGCTCAATTAGAATTTTTGAAAAATTCACATTATTTTCAAAGTTACCACCAATTGAAATAATTACTGGCGTTTTTTTCTTAAAATAGCTCCCCTCTGTTGTTGTAAAATATGGATAAACCCACTTCTAAGTTATATATTTTAGAAATTCTAGTTGATCCTCTGTAAAGAGGTCTGAGCTATATGCATGCAAAATATTATTATAATAGAAGCATTTTTCACAAAAGGAGAACATTTTGAAAAAATGTTATTCTAAGTTAGTGTTTTGCCGAAATATTGTATTTAAATATTTTTTTTTGGTCAAAATGTCCTTTTAAAACAATTTTTACATGTATTCTAATCTAAGTGACACTAAATATCATGAAAATTATCCATTTATGCACTTTTGCAAAATCACGTTTCCGAACGTAGTCGGATACCTTAAATAAATTTAACAAAAAATTACTTTTGCATTGGACTAAAAAAAGATGTAGCTATGTTTAGAAGATTGCCATGTGTTTGGACTAAAATTGTTATAACTGAAATATATTTGATATTTTTTTGTTAAATAAATGCAAAACAATAGCACAGCGACATTCTTCAAGCCTTTTAGATAAAATTTCTTCCGATTGCATATTTGAGACTCTATGTCGTCTACAAAAACCGAATTGGCATTCTACACAGATAGCAAAGGTTGTTCTTCAAGGTCAGTCGTTGTTTGTAAGGAAGAAAAAATATTCAGAATATGCCTCCCCTTCCATTGTGTTTTTTACAAATCTGAAAAGATAACATGAAAAAAAAAATACTGGAATTGACAAAAGAAACGGACAAATTTCCTAAATTTTTCAAAAGCGATTCATTCCTCGTATTGAAAGCAAAGTGGTGAGTGCTTCCCTGGTTTCTATAAACTAGCTTGAACCAAGTATCATGCAAATAAAATATTTGTTATGATCCAAAATTAATAACTTGTTTTACTATATATATATGTATAGAAAATTAATGTTTATATATTTCGAATATACAGCACGTTTAATTTTGAGTTGCGAAAACTTATAATTTTTCTTGAGCCTCTCTGAGCTACATATTTACAGTTTTATTATTCTCTTCTAAGGACATAGAAAAAATATTTTTAACATACACAGATTTTTAAAACTATTGTGTGTATTTATACACGGCGTATAACACGCACCAGTAAATTTCGATCTTATTTTTTGCATTAAAAATGCGCGTTACGCGAAAAATTTAATGGTAAGTAAAGTACAATGATCAAAGTACAAATGTACAAAGTATAATACAAATGAAATCAACAATTTTACACAAATAAAGTATAAAATAACAATATAAATACGCACAATTCACTTAGCTTCAATTGGGAGAACAGCTATTTTACTCTCTCTCTAATAGCTCTTTTAAATGCACTTGATTTAGTTTTAACCTTAAGGTATCCTACTACGTTCGGAACCGTAATTTTGCAAAAGCGTATAAATGGATAATATTTATGATATTTAGTGTCACTTAGAATAGAAAATGTATATAAAATTGTTTTAAAAGAACAGTATAACAATAAAAAATTATTTAAGTACAATATTTTGACAAAAAATGAACATAGAATGACCCATTTTCAAAATATTCTCCTTTTGTGAAAAATGCTTCTATTATAATAATATTTTGCCTATATATACCTCAGACCTCTGTACAGAGGCTCAACTAGAATTTTTGAAATATATAACTTTGAAGTGGATTTATCCATGTTTTACGTCAACAGAGGGTAGAAATTTTAAGAAAAAAATGCAGATAATTATTTTACTTAGTTGTAACTCTGAAAATGAAGTGAATTTTTTAAAAATCATAGTTGAGCCTCTGTACAGAGATCTGAGCTATATACAGGCAAAATACTATTATAATAGAAGTATTTTTCACAAAAGGAGAACATTTTGAAAAAAAGATTATTGTAAGTTAATCTTTTGCTGAAATATTCTATTTAAATAATTTTTTTTTTGTCAAAATTTCCTTAAAACAATTTTATACATGTGTTATAATCTAAGTGACACTAAATATCATGAAAGTTATCCATTTATGTGCTTTTTTAAAATCACGGTTCCGAACGTAGTCGGATACCTTAACGACTCTCACCTTTCCATCTGATCCATGATATACTTCTAGGATTCGACCTTAGAGCCATGTATTTACGGATAAAAAGTCCTCCTTGTTTAAGCCCTTATCGACCGCGTAATGATTTACTGTGATTTTTTTCATGCAATATTTTTTTTTGGATTGAAAATTAAGAGATATATATAAACAAAATACTCAACTTTGGGAAATTTAATCCATTACAGCTAATTAATTAATTAAAGATATTCAACTGTAAAATTAATTATATACACTGTTCACTTAAAATAAATAGTCAAATCGTTTTCTACAGTCTTCATTAACGTACAAAAAAAAAAGTGTGTGTGTACTTATGTACGCACGTAAGAAGTTATGCTTCTTTGGCGTAACAAGATTAAAATCTTTCTAAAAATCTTTAGCAAGGCAAACTGGGTCAAGGACGAAAGGCGGTCACGAGCAGAGTTGAACGATACTAACCTTCAGTCAATCGGACCAGCCAAATCTGAGATAATCACGATTTAACTAAATTTAAACACCACAGCACAGGGACAATAGGACCAATAACATGGGGGATTCCAGACTGTATCTGGAGATGAAGTGAACCCAATGTGACATCTGAGACCTCATATTAAATGACTCGGTAGGAAGAATCGTTCCTGAGAAAATTAAGACATCCACCTGAACAGCCCCCAAGTTATGGTCATTTTAAAATAATTAAAATACTTAAAACAATTAAATAAAATATATAGAAGCAGGGCACCCAGCAACTCGAAACTGGGCCTGGGTGTGAGCAAACACAAGAGGAATCCATTAGAACCGGTCCGGAGTCTGTAGTTGCAAATGGGGTGGTGCTAGCTCGGGAAAGGAAAGCGTAATTAACTCCCCTCGGAGGGGAACAACTGTGACGTAAATGGTCTCGTACATCCCAACGATACACAGAGTAGTAAGTGATCCCAAAGTTTCATTCTTCTATCTCTGTAATATCGTTACGTCGTCAAAAGATCGAACCCAATAAGAAAAACATGGGGATTATAATTTTAGTGATAACGCCCACCCCCTAAGCCCATTATCTACACACGAATTGTAACAGATGAAACAGCTCAAAAAGGTGAACCTATAGTCCGAGTTTCTTTAACGAATCTCAAAAATTCTCGAAGCTATGCGGGATTAAAAAAAAATTATAACTTTAAAATAATTTAAAAATGTTAAATATGGGTAAAGAAATGGGGCTATGGTCCTGAAAAAATTTGTCTAGGATGCTCATAGGAAGAACAATCGAATCCAGTAGGTACGGTCGACCAAGGTGGCATAGGATTCGACTAATTTCTGGGGAAGCCCTGTAGGGGGTAGGGCACTAATTCCACGTAAAGCTCACGCTAAAAAGAAATATGCCGGGCTTCCAAAAATCAAGTCCCAAGCTCAATTCCTTAGGGAGTTGAAATTTTTTCCAGTCCCCATAGGATTAACATGGGAGAATGATATTTTAGTGCTTAAGCACTCCTAAGGCCTATACAATGGGAATGAAGCAAATGACTGGATGGGTCTCGACGAGTGGAAAACTTGGTTCAAATCTCAAGTCCGAGATTCGAACAGGAGCCAAGATATTATGAATTTAAACAAATTAAAAAAGTTTAAGACAATTAAAAACTATAGAAAAAATAGTCCTATGAGCATGAAATTATAATAACTGGAAGAGCAGATAGAGCGGGATTGAATGACCGAGGTCCTAATGGACTGTAAGGCCCGGGAGCCGAGATATTGGCCAAAAAGCTGTAAAGGGGGGAATTCTCAGAGGGGATGCATTCCAACAGATATGGCTTATAACAATAGTTATTATGATCCCCCAATTATCCGCTCCATAGCACCAAAAAAGTGGCCTGTTAAAATATTAGACAACGGTGTGCGCACGCGCATCGGTGTCGTGAAGGTATGTGCGCGCGCATCTGCGACGGTGTGCGCGTGCATCGTAAAAATTTACCCCCATCCTTTTTCCCTAACGACCATAAAAAAAAGAAGGATAAATTAAAAAATAAATATTTGAATACAAAAGGCTATAATAATTTGCTACAATTTAATAAATGTGTTTATGTTCATCGCAATGCGTTCGTAGTAAATACTTCTATAATCATACACTTGCAATTGTTATTTAAATAGGTAAACTAATATCCATTCTTATATTTTACGTACATAAAACACAATTTAAAGATTAATTTACTAATTTTTTAAAAAAATTTCCTGTAAGTATGTTTGGTTTAATAACAAAAAGTGTTCAAACAAATGCATCAGAGAAGCTCTTTAGGCGAAGGACGAGCTCTCCCTTCTAGTAGTGACGTCACAAATCAGCGCAAAGCAAAGGTTCGCAGACACGGGGGGTATAGCTCAGTGGTACAGAATTCGGTTGCTAATCGAGAGGTCCCTGGTTCAAACCAAGGTGCCCCCTTCTTCAGGGAAATGAAGAGAAATATTTTGTTTGAAATTTCGAAAGCGGGAACGATCTGTCCCGTTCTGCATATTTCTAGACAAAGCATTTTCGTATTCGTTCCTAAGGAACGCAAAGCAAAGGTTATCTGACGTGGGGGTATATATCAGTGATAGAGCATTCGACTGCAGATTGAGAGGTCTACGGTTCAAACCCGGGTTTCCCCTTCTCAAGGGAAGTGAATAGAAATATTTTACTGAGAACTTTGAAGGTGGCAATTATCTGTCCCGTTCTGTATATTTCTAGACAAAGCTATTTCCCATCCGTGACGGCATGCGTCACTTCCGTGACGGTTTTGCATCACATCCGTGACGGTTTGCGCGAGCATCGTAAAAATTCACCCTCATCCTATTTCTCTAACGCCCCAAAAGAAGTATAACTTCAAAAAAAAATAATAAGACACTTAAATTTTTATATTAACAATTTTTTCGGGGCAAAAATGAAAATCTTCGCAATCCGCTGAAAACTCCGTCAGCTGGGAACATAGTTTCTGCTATAAAACTATTCGCCTTCCCCTCTAAAATACTCATCATAGAACCCGTGCTACCATATATCTTAGAAGAGTGGATTTCAAAGAATATTCCTGCTAAGTATCGTCAGAATATTCGTAAAAATGGTTAATCTATGTAATTTTAAAGTGAGTGGTACTTATAAGTACCGTCGGTCGATAAAAGATTAAAACCCTTTGACCTACTATCAGATCAGTTTTTTCTGTTATCCATTTTGATCCAGCTTGCAATGTATTCAAATAATCGGATTTTCATTTTTTTCAACATCTTTTAATCATATTTTAAAATTACATATTTCAATTATTCCACTTCAACAAAAAGAAATGAAAAGAGATTCCTGATTAGTCCAATGATGTTGTGTTTAATTGAAACTAAAAGAAACAATTAAGCAAAGAATAAGTTAAGTTAGTTATAATTGAAATGTAAATTAAATTAAAAACAGACTTGGTAATAATAGTGTAACATTTCTTACTTCCTTTTTACTTTCTCTAGAGCTCCTAAATCTACTAGAAAGATTCCAAGCATTCGTTTTATTTATATGTATACAGGAGATCGGGGTTCAATTATCCGTCGGGGAGCCAGGGCCGTAGGTATATTAGTGGTTAGAGCAACGTACTCCAGACCGGAAGGCCTGAGTTCGATGCCACCAAATACCCTCCGAGTACACACGGAGTACGTGCTCGTTAAATCAGTGGGTCCGAAAGCCTTGTGGGCTGAATCACGAGTGCAGGGGACTGAAGAATATTTCCCTCCCCTTCAGTTCCATGCCTAAATTGTGGTGGTGGAGATAGGAGGTGTCGCCATCTATCGTCCCATCGGGGAATTTCGCCGAGCTAATTCGTACTGTCACCTGTATGGTGCTCAAGGCCAAGGTCAACGACAGGCGTACTTCTAGCCCCTTGCTACGATGAATTTCGTGGGCCTCGATCTGACTACGTCAGACAGGTGGAATTAGCCTCAAGAACAACAGGATGTCCCAAAAATACCGCCCAAACTCTGCACTGCAATACCTGCACGATCCATAATTTAAGAGAGAAATACGAAAAACAAAATATGCCAGTGCAAGAGGAAAAAACACCGTATTGGACACATCAACAGCAGTATTTTCGAATATTTAAAAAGTCAGATGTTCAAAACATCCATAGTGTATATGGAGGCAGGTTTGAGCGAACCGTGGAATGGATGATTGCACAAGTCGCGGCAGTGCGGTATTCACCGAAGTACAAGCAGCATGCAGATGAGCAACTTAGTCCGTTTGTGCAATCACTGCGTACCAATCTATGTACCAATTCCTTGAAATTGTCCCATAAGGAAAAAATCTACCGATGTGAGATTTGGTGATCGTGGCGGCCATAGAACCGGATCCTAACGTCTGATCTGATGGCCGGAGTAGGCATATCTAGCCAACCACACATCTAGGAACACAGAAATGCGCAGGAGCCCAACATGAACTATAATGCATCATCACTCATTCATCAACATTTACCATATTTTTCTCGTAAATTTTGGATCGTACAAATACAGTTTTTTGGGTACTTTTTATGTACTCCCAAGGAGGAATCTAGCTGTGCAGAGTTTGGGCTTTGTTTTTCGGACGCTCTGTATAAAATAGAAAAAAGAAACACAGGCGTATTAATTATAAGACAATTAAACACAAAACTGAGGCTTAAAATATTACATTTATACTTAACAAACATTTTACTGAGCGTGGGCGATATATCTTTCGATAAATTTTTAGAATGAAAACAACTTTTTTCCTATTGATCCTTAACCTTTCTTACTTCCTAATCCGTGTTAATTATCAAGTAATTCATATAAAAAATAACTGAAAAATACTCCCACGCACAATTAAAACGTAAAATAACTTTAAGAAAATAAATCAGTTTTCTTTTCTATTCCATTAATTTCAAAATCTTTTAACTGAACCTCATTAAAATTTATCTAAGCGAAATAAACGAGGAAAACAAAGATAATCCTGCCACCCGAGCATCATTAAAATAACACAGACCTAACATCGACTTTTTTCTTGTGCATATATTTTTCTTAAAGGTACAAAAATATAAGAAAAAAATATTTCCCTATTTTTCATACTCAACACAAACAAGGCATGATAAAAATAAATGAATTTTCCAAGGAAATTAATTTACCATAGAAATAGCACATTTTTCATGCTCGTCTTCTTTTTATTTTTTTTATCAAAAATATAGAAGATGGAAAAAATTTGTATCGTATTATCAATTTTGAAATAAAACGTAAAAATATCAAAAATACACACACATTGTAAGTAATAATTGTATGCATTAGGAACATTTATTATTTTCTGCTAGTTGACTGTACATAAACAGGTTTCTGACCAGCTTTTACTATTTTTCGAAGGAATTCAAGTTGCAATCATAGTCTCTTTGCCTTATGTATTTAATTTCATATTAAATGAAACAAGTTCATAGTCTATGCCTACGCTAGTTTAGTGGAAATTAAAGAAATACTGTATTTTTAAGAGATTTATCAATAAAAATAAGCCAAATATGCAGCTCTTACGCAGCTGAAATTACAATAATTTTCACAGTCCTTTTTTCTTGAGTATATTCCAAAGTAGGGGTTTTTAACATTTAATGCTCGAGTTCCATATCAAAAAATATCAATAAATCAATCATCAATAAATATACGATGATTCGTGGGCCACATGACTGTCAAAAAGTAATGTAATACAGAAATTTAAATAAGAAAGAGAGGTTTGTTTTACAAGACTTTAACTGATTCTAAGAGAAAAGATGGTATTACAGATTAGTATATATATATATATTGGTTCCAAAAACGTTAAATAGAAGTCAGATTAAAATACTTTGAGTGTTAAAGCTAAGAGTTCACCTTTTCTTTTGAAAACTTCTGAGATTTTATGCATGATCAGAATTTTTATACATAAAATTATTTAAGATACAATGAAATTTTTGAAAAATTCGTGAATACAAGAAATTTTATCTCAAATGGATATCAAGCATATCAATAAAATGTTTTAAATATTAAGAATAACAGAGAAAATGGCGCTTTTTACGAGAAAAAGCAGACAATTTCCTGAAATTGCCTCGGATTCAAATGAAGGGTCACTAAAATGACTTAAGCGGGTTCAAGACCCCTATTCTAAAGTAACTGAATTATTTCACATTGACTTTTAACAGCCCCAGTAGAACAGCGATAAAAATGTAGGGAAGAAAAATTCTTTCTTATAATATTAAGCTGTGTCATTCTTTCATTCACCAAAATTTATCAAATTGAAATGGAGAATTCCCCTTAGTAATCTCATTCGCTTAAATTCGTCAGTCTTAAGTTGAGTTAATCCCGTGTTCGCTTAAAATTCGTTGAAGAAGCGTTTACCATGCTTTAATTAAAACCCTGCGACGATATCTAATGGGCTTTAAAAATTTTGAGAAAAATTTTAATAATCTTTTAAGTTTTAACTGTTTTTGAAATTTCAAATTGGAATCCTTTTTGGATAAGAGAGCTTATAATACTTGTTCACGGAATTATTTTGTCTCTTTAACTATTTAACTGTTAAGTTATTTTGATGATTTGGTACATAAATTGTCAATTTTTTTTATTGCAAAAATCAAATGTTTAGTACAAAACAAAATACACTCTAGTTAAAAATTGATATTTTGAATTACATGCATAAAAACTTTTAAGGTTTTGTAGCAACTGCATATTCACTTGAAGTGGCTGGCATACAGCGTGACAATGGTAAAGTTCGCTTTTAGTAAAACATTATTTTCTAAAATAAAAATAAATAAAAAATGAATACGTATAGTAGTTCAGTCATTCAGTTTTGTGTGGTATAACTGGAAACACTTTTCCAAGCACAAAGCAACTCCGCAATCATTACACCAGAGAATCGTGTTTCTTTCCTTATCTTTTTTCCATTTGCATCCCTTTTTGCGCAACAACCTTGCAAACTTTGTCTTGTAGGCTCACGTTTCGCAAAAGTAGAAGGAATATGGGACATAAAATATCGTTTATTTAGACGGGAAGGGTTATCTACTGTAGGTGGTCTGCCAGGATTCTTTTGTCCTGAAGCTGCATCATCATATTTATAAAAAAGCTCTTTTACAGCTTGGATTAGAAATTTTAAAAAAAATTTGTGTTTCCCAACTTCATTTTTATTGAGCAAAAATTAGTTCTAGAGTACCTTTTCAAGTAAATGCAAAAAAGTATCTTTTTATAATACTTTTTTCTGGCGTTTTTAGATCGTCGGATGAAAGGATATTTCCTGATCACTGCGATATACACTATCCATAGTTAGACTGTAGTCAAAAACAATTTTTGGCTTGAATATATCTTCATTTTTCTTATTTTTTGTCTTCTGAAGTTGATCGTGGAAGTATCACGAATACTGCTCACCAAACACTATTTATTGAATTAAGCTCAAAGGAACTTTTCCCGATATGGAGAGAGAGAGAGAGAGAGAGAATTCGGTTTTGTGTGAAAAATAGATGAAGCCGACATAAACTTCGTCCGATGTGTATTCGAGTATAACAATAAGATGCATTCAAAAAAAATTATTCCGTATAATTCTCGAAAGTGACATTTTGGAGCACTTGTGCCGTGCCCGAGATAGTCTTGTGCATGACAATTAGAAGGTTAATATATATTTAGAAGAGTAGATA